TTTTGTACACAAACATAAACAATAACTTTTGTTATTAAATAGTGTGCTATGCATCTTTACTTGTTATTTATTGTGGTGAAATTTCACTAATGGCCCAATTTTAAAAAGAGAGCTATACCATGAGTCGAAGAAGGTCGTAATTGATTTGAATGCCTGTATAACGTGTCAACTAAATGCATGCTATAAAGAATTTCAAAGGTAAGAAAAAAATGTTTCATATATCTAAGTGACTGAATGTTTTTCGTACTACCTTCTTCTCAATTTAAAGAAATATTGAAAGTGGTATATCAGAGTGAAGAAACTTGTGTTTTTCCCTTTACAAGCTCTGCTCTTTCTTACTTCACTTTCAAATTTCCTCTCTTGTTATATAAACATTTAGCGATTGCTTTACTTCACACATTCAAGCAATGTATACTATCCCTCCTAAAAAAAAACAGTTTGTAGATGTGTTAACAATAGATATGGCGACGAAATGTATCAGCATCTCTGAAATGCCTAAGCATAAAAAATGTTGGCAATTTCTCTGAATTTTATTTTTTTATTTTTTATGGAACATTGTTTACATTAATTGCCTAGTTTTTGGTATGCAAATGGTGGACACTTTATTAATTTCTTTATATTTTTGTGCTGTACATATGTAGAGGAATCTTGTCATAAGCAATCGTGTTCGTCTGCCAGAAAGTTTGTTTTGTTTTACTCGGGAAGTTGTGAGGATTGTTTATTATATTCGTACAATGAATTTCAGTATGTTATGTTGTGTTACGTGTAAGCGACAATTCATTTTATAACAGCTCCTATCGTCCTAGCATTCATTGATAGTAGGCCTATATTGTGACACATTGAGATACCTTGAACTTGAAACTATGTTTACATCTTTTTCGAATTCAAACGAAAATACAAAAGAAAGATGTACAATAATTGTATTCACATTTACAACAGTTTGTTTATTACACATAAAATAAAGTATGTTTTATCACAAAATCAGTTTATTTTCCTTGTTCTTTTGTTTTGGAGGGAGGGGGATGTATTCAGAGCAAATTCTAAGAAGCAAGATGGTGAACTTTTCATTAAAATGGGACAAATAAGTTGTTATCAAGTTTTGATAGTGATTAAAATGTACAAGATAATAGACATGACGAAATTAAAATAACATGTCCCTCTTGCTTCAATATTGTTATTATACATATCTTCCAGCGGGATCTAAGTCGAGTTCTATAATGAACTTTTCTAAAATTCAGTCTAATTTTGATGAAATTGTTACTATCTTCATTTTGTGGATTTTGCTCTGTTTATTTATTTAATCCAATCTTAAACTACTTGGCTTTTCCTTGTCACGTTGTGATGCATGTGTTTGAATGATTGTACATGTCCGATGTAGTATGATCTTGACGATGTTCTTATGAACGGACGACTGATGTTGGTGTGAATATGTTTTTGAGTTGGTGTTGGTAATGTCAGAAGAATGTTGGCATGAACTGGAAAGGGGAGGTACAACGTCGGCACATGGTGGGATACGGGTTGGCATAACGTTGCTTCTACGTCGGCAAATGGTGGAGAAGAGGTTGGCATAACGTTGGTCTAGCATTGGCACATGGTGGAGGAGGGGTCGGCACTTGGTGGGAAAAGGGTTGGCATTATGTTAGGACAACGTCGGGGAGACGTCGGCACATAGTGTAAAAGGGGTTGGCATTACGTTGGTCCTACGTCAGGGAGACGTCGGCACATGGTGGAAAAGGGGTTGGCATTACGTTTGTCCTATGTCGGCATATGGTGGGATAGGGGTTGACATGACGTTGGTCATACGTCGGGGGGACGTTGGCCCGATGTTGGCTTAATGTCATTTCGTCGCTGTCGAGCCAACGTTGGCCCGCCGGCAAGAAAGCCGTTGGCCCAACATCACATTGACGACGATGGCGCAACGTAACAGCCCACGCCGTCGGCACATGGTGGGATAGGGGTTGGCATAACGTTGGTCCAATGTCGGAACTACGTCGGCAATGGTTGGATAGGGGTTGGAATAACGTTGGCCCTACGTCGTGGAGACGTCGGCACATGGTTGAAAAGGGGTTGGTATAACGTTGGGCCAATGTCGAGGAGACGTCGGCACATGGTGGGATAAGGGTTGGCATAACGTTTATCCAATGTCGGAACAACGTCGGCACATGGTGGGATAGGGGTTGGCATAACGTTGGTCGTACGTCGGCACATGGTTAAAAAAGGGTTGGGACGACGTTGGTCCAATGTCGGAAAGACGTCGGCATACGGTGGAAAAGAGGTTGGCATAACGTTGGTTCAATGTCGGGAGGACATCGGCACATATGGTCGGATAGGGGTCGGCATAACGTTGGCCCGATGTTGGCTTAATGTCATTTTGTCACTGTCGGGCCAACGTTGGCCCACCGGCAAGAAAGCCGTGGGCCCAACATCATGTTGGCGACGTTGGACCAACGTAACAGCTTACGTTGGCCCCACGTTGGCGTAACGTCGTATTGTTATCTGGGCAAGGACATGTGCCATTTACTATGCATTATGCCAAAGCACATTGTTATATATTCTAGTTTGGTTAGATACAGTTTTAATAGCGAAATGAGTGGTTCAAGTCCAGATTATCTTTAACTTTCAGTATTATGGTATGAGTGAGTGTGGACGCACCATGTGTATAATACTGGTGTGTTATTAGGTTATGGCAGTGCGTTCAATGTGAACACAACTTCTTATCAGAGTTCTTAATCCCCTCTCCCCCAAGCTTGACCATCCACTGCAATGCATTACACGCACACAGTGTAGATAGATTATGCTATACCCAAATGCTATGTTGAGAAGTGTTAGAGATAGAATGTGTTTGTTTTTTACCCATGCTGGAAATGGTATCTTAGGCGGGAATGAAAGTTTGGTAGAGTCAGCAAAATGAGAAGACAAAGGATTTGAGTTGGGGAATACACTTGTTGAGAAACACATGGTCAAATTGTCTAGTAGTTAGCTAGTGATGGATGGGTTGATGAAATATTGTAGTTGAAGACTTGCATAATCACTGTCTGGAATTCATTGTATTATATTGTTAGGAATGATAATTCAGGTTAAATGTTATTGGGAATTACTCTCTCTCTCTCTCTCTCTCTCTCTCTATATATATATATTCTCTCCCTCTCTTTCTCTCTCTCTCTCTGTATGGTTCACCCTTTCTCTTTCACTTTGCTTTGTATATGACCATGAAATGAATATACATGTATTTAGTAAAAGTATTGGCCGTTGTTTAGAATTAGAATATGAACTGTATGTGAAGATGAGATTATACAGTAAGAGGAATTCGTAATATTGGTTGTAAGTTTGCTAAAGCTATATAATTAGTGCAGACTGCAGACTAAGACTATTTGCCAGTTCTGTGAATATTGTAAGGAGTTTAGGATATAAGTTGTTGAAGATGTATCTTTTCAAGTTCAGTAATCTCGCTGAAAAAGATAGTATTAGATCAAAGTGATGCAGATGACTATTGGAAAATACATGAGCTAGTTAAGGAAGAGTTATGAGTTTATTCAGCATTAATGTGAATACCTGAGACAAGAAGTAACTTGTGAATTAAGGGATTAGTGAAGGCTGAGAGTAGAATTGCATTCTAAGGGTCTATGTGTACAGTGGATCCTCAGTCTTGGAGCGTAAAGAGTAGAAAGCTTATTAGGCAATAGTATAGGGATGATTATGCCAACATTCTTGTATTAGGTCTATATATGTGATTTCTTGAAAGAGACGCTAAGTGAAGAGTTATATGATTAGAAGCTAAAGTAGATTGACTGATACCGCAATGTTATAGACATTTGATAAGGGTTAAGTTATTTATTAGTAGCCAAGTTATGATTATGAGATCGATGAAGAGTTGCACTTTTACATAAAGCATGGAAGTAAGGATAGTTTCGTTTAGAGATAGTAAAGTAATGAAACTAACCAGATGATGTTCTTAGTGATATAGTAAGAGAACACGGAGAGCTAATGAATTCAAGGTATGCGAACAGGTAGATTTATTGGTGTTTAATACTTGAAGAGTATTGTTAATGTTATGCCATTTGATCGTATATATATGTTATTGTAAGAAAAGACTGTTATTGTAGAAGATTAAGTAATAAAGACTTTGTTTTGCCATGCATCCTAGTCAACACCTTTCTTATTTTGTCTTCCTTTCATAGGTATGCCCCCTCCCTCGGGGTGTGGGCGCTACATACTTGTACAAGCACAAAATATTAGATCAAATATCCACGATCTTTTACCCATGGAGAAGTCCTACTTTCTACATTTCAGAAAAATCAGTGCTTACGTGATGAAAGTGCTATTTGTTTGCCCGCTTGAAAAGAACACTTCCACCTGGGTACTACAGGATTTACTGTTGGTGCATAGATGATTAATGACCCCGTACTTTCATGTACCCATATCCAGTGTTTGTCTCTATTTATTTTAAACGGTTTTACAATAACTTCTAACTGGTTTAAACAATTATCAGGAATATCAACATTTAAGACATGGGCAGGACAAAATGGGACGTAAGGAAAGTATGGGAATAAAGGCAATCAAATGCAATTTTTCACACATTTCTTGCAAATAAAGACTCAATTTTCTACAGAAAATAAGCAACTGAAGAGAATTTCCAACATAATTCATCACAATTAATATTTCAACTGGCCGAAAAATACAAATAAAATTCTAAATATTATCTAATGGAGCTACTGAAAAATATTGGTTAAATTAAATTTGAACAATTTTTGTTGTCCTAGGTGAAGTTGCCCTATTTCATCAACATAATTTAATTTCACAATCTGGTATAAATCATATGCATAACTCAGCCTGAAACACAAATCCAAATTTAAGAAAGCAAATTTAGTAATTTTTATTTGTTTTTAAAAATAATAATAACTGTATTTTATGAAGCATTTTATCAGTTACAACGTAGACTTCTCGACTATGACACCATTTCTACAATTTCTTCCAAATGCCCATGTTAATATAATTCTTCCCTACCTTGAGAATATCATCTGGCGAATGATTTCATCCTTTGCATAGTGGACTGGTAGGTTGCCTTGGTTATCCTTGATGTCCAGCTTTGCTCCGTGGTCCAAGAGATAGAAGACCAGGGCCTTCTTGGAAGACAATTCATTCTGATAGAACTCTTCTGAGATCTAAATGAATTATAAATAGAAGCGATTGTTTAAACTTTGGGAGGCCCTTACGTTTCCGAAGACTCATCCACAAGGTTCATCATTCTGAACATTTGTTGTGTTTTTCCGATGGTTGGTTTATGTTTATAATTCCGACAGTGAAATAGGTATCATTACTCCATAGGTTTGTCATTCCGAAAATGAAATAAGGTGCGTTATTTCAAAGTTTCAACTCTGTGATATAGAACTGATTGTAATTCTCGCAATAACATACTCTATTTCATTTTTCGGAATTACGAATTCTCTGTAATATTTAGAATTATGAATCCTATATCATTTTTTCAGAAATAAGAACCTTTAAAAAAAAAAATTGTTTAACTCTACGAGACGGAAATGCTCATCGTTATTTGAGTGGCAATATGCTCCATTTTTGTATGTTTCTTTTTAATAGAGACTCATTCATTGTGAAATGTTATGCTCACTCAATGGAAATGGTATGATTCCAATTGGATAATTGTAAGTAAGCAATCCGGTTAGTGTAGGAAATTACTACAAAGCAATTGTCGCAGGAGCAAGTGTCGTACAATCCCAGGGACAGTGTGTTCTAGAGTTCACCATCTTACCTTTTGAAGTGCTGGTGTTGCTTCAACTTTGCCGTCCTTCCGACCACAAAGTCTGATGGCTTCGTGAAGACAGGTCTTTCCGTCTATGGACTGGAGGTTGAGATCGGCGCCATGAGAAACTAATGTCTCGATGATGGAGGTGTAGCCATTTTGCGTGGCTAAATGAACTGCTGTGCAGCCTTTCTCAGCATGTTGTCCAACAACCTGTGTAAAACACCAGCCTCAAGAATTAAGAATCTACAAACAAAACAGCTTTTTATGAAGCAATTTCTTTTCTAGTTGTCCATATCTTTAATCACCAAATAGACTTACATATATACAGATATTAACATTTAAACAAATATTTTACAGTCAAATCTGTCTGTAAAGGTCACCCATGGGAAACAAAAAAGTGGCCTTTTTAGAGAGGTTCTCAAACACACATTTCTTTCTCGAGAGAGGCAAAATAAACGGCCACGATGCACAGGTGGCTTTCATAGAGAGGTGGCCACTAAGACAGCTTTGACTTACATGTATATGTACTGGTACAAAATAGGTTTTGAGAAGTTGTGGAATCATTTCAACCTTTTTTATAATTCAGACAATCTATATACCTTCACAAGAAAGTTTTAACAGGATTTTTAAGGCTTAACATTTGCTAACCCTTTTCAAATTATATTGATATGATTTTAATACTTGCAAGAATATTGATAAACTGTATGATATTTTTTTCATATGAAATCTATAGGAATACTTAATTAAATACCTTCTTCTCATTTTCTGTTAAACCCTCAGTATCTGCATGGTCATTTGGGGAAGAAGGGTGTTTCTGCCCTTTAGCACACCGCGTATATGGACCTGTCCCTTGCACTTGGTCTTGTTCTGCAGCGGGTTGCAACGCATTCTTCCCAGGTTTACTCAGATTCACTTCAGCTCCGTGCTCCAATAGATATCTTGTGACATCGGAATGTCCATTTACAGCAGACAGATGCAGGGCAGATGATCCCTTCTTGGTAATCTTGCTAACATCTGCAAGTTGCTGAAGTAGACACTTCATGACATCGATGAGACCGTTCTGAGCAGCAATGTGCAAGGGAGTCCAACCGTCATTGTCTGTCGCATCAATTTCAGCTCCGTGGTTGAGCAAGCCTTTCGCGATATCGAGATGACCATTCTGCACGCCGACATGTAGGGCTGTAGAACCTTTCTCCTTGGTGGCTCCGTTTACCTTTGCTCCTTGCCTAAGCAAATGCTCTGTAACGTGACAATGGCCAACAAATGCAGCAACATGCAAAGGCGAGATATCATCAACGTCTCCTTTGGCTACTTCGGCTCCTTGTCCAAGTAGATAATTTACAATACCAAGATGACCCATTTGCGCAGCTAAATGAAGAGCAGTCCAGCCAGCATTGTTGCTTTCCTTCACTTCAGCTCCTTGACTGACCAGATACCTTACAACTGCTAAACTGTCACCTTCTACAGCATATTGTAATGATGTGCGACTAACTGTTCTGCCTCCTTGACTTGCGAGAAGATCTTGAATGTCAAGATCAGACAATATAAGTGGCCTTTGCACAATAACCATTCCACCTTGAACTGTCTTTTGCTCATCGCCATCTTGATATTTGCTTCTACCAAGATCACTTTCTGTAGCACCTCTAAAGACAGTGAGAGAATCTATTAGTCTGCTAACTGCTTGAACTACACGACTATGCACACATCGCACACCATCATAGTGACCATACTGTCCATCAAATTGTAAGATGACGGAGGGCCACACGCTTCTCATATTCAGTTCAGAGCCTTGGCTGAGCAGATACTTGGTAATGTCGATCTGACGATTACATAAAGCATAATGGAGAGCAGTTGCTCCAATTGCGTTACCAATATCTGCCTCCACTCCATGATTGATTAGGGATTTCACGATATCTAAATGGCCATATGTTGATGCAAAATGCAGGGCAGTCGATCCATAGTCATTTCCTTTATTCATATCGGCCCCTTCACTGATCAGATATTCCATGACATCCAACTTCCCTTTCGTTGCAGCATTATGCAAGGCACACCTACCAAAGACATTGCTAGAATTCACATCAGCTCCTTGACTTAGCAAATATCTTATCATACCAAGGTTGCCATTACTCGCTGCAAGTTGTAAGGCTGTCCAACCAAAAGAACCAGCTTTATCCAGCTCGGCTCCTTGACTTACTTGATCTTTCATGGCATCAAGATCGCCTCTCTCTGCAGCGGAATGAAACTCAGTCCAATGAATTATATTTGATGTGGCCAGCTCAGCTTGCTGACCAAGCAAAGCACTTGAAACACGAACGTGACCAGCAGCTGCGGCAAGGTATAAGGCTGACCATCCTTTGTCACTAGCCTTATCAACATCAGCTCCTTGACTGATTAATTCTGTGACAACATCAAGATGTCCTTCATTAGCAGCTAAATGTAATGCAGTCGAACCATCATTATCACCTTTATTCACTTCAGCTCTTTGCCTCATCAGATATTTGATGACATCAAGATGACCATTAGATGCAGCTAGTTGTAATGGGGTTAGACCATCATTATCAACTTCATTCACTTCAGCCCCTTGACTTATCAGACATTTGGTGACATCAAGATGACCATTCTGTGCGGCTCGTCGTAATGGAGTCATACCCTCATTGTCATCTTTATTCACTTCAGCTCTTTGACTTATCAGACATTTGGTGACATCAAGATGACCATTCTGTGCAGCTAGTTGTAATGGGGTCCTACCCTCATTGCTGCTCCTATTGACTGCAGCTCCCTGACTAATCAGACATTTGGTGACATCAAGATGACCATTCTGTGCAGCTAGTTGTAATGGGGTCAAACCATCATTATCACCTTTATTCACTTCAGCTCCTTGACTGATCAGATATTTGATGACATCAAGATGACCATTGTGTGCAGGTAGATGTAATGGGGTCAAACCATTATTATCATATTTATCTACTTCAGCTCCTTGACTGATCAGATATTTGGTGACATCAAGATGACCATTAGATGCAGCTAGTTGTAATGGGGTCGAACCATCATTATCACCTTTATTCACTTCAGCTCTTTGACTGATCAGATATTTGGTGACATCAAGATGACCATTTTGTGCAGGTAGATGTAATGGGGTCAAACCATTATTATCATATTTATCCACTTCAGCTCCTTGACTGATCAGATATTTGATGACATCAACATGACCATTAGATACAGCTAGTCGTAATGGGGTCCTACCATCATTATCATCTTTATTCACTTCAGCTCCTTGACTGATCAGATATTTGATGACATCAAGATGACCATTAGATGCAGCAAGATGTAATGGGGTCGAACCATCATTATCATCTTTATCCACTTCAGCTCCTTGACTGATCAGATATTTGGTCACATCAAGATGACCATTATAAGCAGCTAGATATAATGGGGTCGAACCCTCATTTCTGCCGTTATTAACCTCAGCTCCTCTACTAATCAGAAATTTTGTGACATTAAGATGACCTTTAAAAGCAGCTGTATGTAATGGGGTCGAACCCTCCATTCCGCCGTGATTAACCTCTGCTCCTTGACTGATCAGAAATTTGGTGACATCGAGATGTCCAGTCCCTGCAGCTATAAGTAACGCAGTCCAACCGTCATTACCGACTTTATTCATCTCAGCTCCTTGACTGATCAGAAATTTGGTGACATCAAGATTACCATTCTGTGCAGCTATATGCAATGGTATCAAACCCTTTTTCCCGCCGTTATTAACCTCGACTCCTCTACCGATCAGTTCTTGGATGAGGTCAAGTTGTCCATTCCGCACGGCACTGTTTAGTGCACTCTGCAAATCATCACCACGGCCATCTTGTTCATTTTCCTCCATACTGTCTCTGTGGATTAGACTTTTGGCGTTGCCTTTACGACTTACACGTAACGGGGTCAAACTAAGATTTCCGCCGTTATTCACCTCGGCTCCTTGACTGATGAAATATTTAGTGACATCAAGTTGTCCATCTGAAGCTAGCTGTAATGCAGTAAAACCGTCATTATCAACTTTATTTATCTCGGCTCCTCTACCGACCAGTTTTTGGATGAGGTCATGTTGCTCAATCTCCACACCACCGCTTGGTGCATTCTGCAAATCATCAACACTGTCATCTTTTTCATTTCCCTCCTTACTGTCCCTGTGGACCAGACTTTTGGCGTTGCCTTTACGACTGACCCCCTTTTTGAAAATCTTCTTCCACATTCCTAATGAAAGCTAAAGGTCTCTCTCCTGGCTCTTGAAGTATTGTACAAGTTCAAGAATTCATCAAAATCTTTTCGGGCTGTTTTTAATTTTGTCCTACATTATCACTTCACGCTGTATCTTCTCATTCTTCTGCCGCATTCCGAGTGAAAGCTGGAAGCTGACATCAGTCATTCACCAAAACACCTAGAAAGAATAATCATGTGTACATGTTCGCAAACTCAGTCAGTGGTGAGGTACATATTTTAAAATTGGATGGAAAGGGCATATCTTGAAGTATCTAAGTCCAAAAAGGGTACGGGGTTGGCCACGCAGGATTGAGACTACGGCCACAGAGAGATTTCAGAACTTTAGAGGGCGCTATTTATATCATGCCTGATTATTGGAGGGTGACATTTATCAAGGGTATGTGCATTGATAAGAATAACAAAATGTAGAAGTTTGAAACAAAACGGAATTCGTACGAGAAAGTGATGGCAGTTTACGGTTTTTAGGGGTCAAATATTTATACAATTTTAGGCGATTTTTGCCAGAGTCGATTTCGGATTTGAATTTTCTTAAAAGTATTAATGCAGAGTTTGGGGAAATTTTGAAAATATTAGGACGGATAGCAATTCTTTGAAATGTTGAATTATTTGGATACCCCTGTGGATGTATTACAAGCACTAACAAAAGTAGCCTCTAAAACACTTCTGCTTTCGAGAAAATGAATAATCACGAATTTACCGGTGCTCCCGGTAAATTTTAAATGTTTCTAATAGCGCCTAAGGCCATTCCATGGTAGCTGCGATCATGAAAATCTCAGAATATGCAGTTCTGATATATAATTTCCAAACGATAAAAGCAAGTTGGTCGATTGAAGTCAATAGTAATTGTTCTTAAGTTAAAGTAATATCAGTCTTGAGAGGGAGCTATACAACATAAAGTGTTTATTATTTCAGTACAATTTCAAAACTTTAGACTCGGTTTCAACCGCGGCAACGATCTTAGAATATTGTTAAATCGCATATCCTTCCAATATGTTGATATATTATATATTATGATATATATTTAAACCAAATTCATGACACTATACCAAAACTTTGAATTACCTTTAATATCAAGTCAATAATCGTTATCATGCTGCCAATCATCTCTAAACATGCCACTCATTTGAATTTTTTTGGGAACAATCCAAGAGTCCGACCTTTCACTTTAATCATATGTGTGGTGTAAATGTACAATGTAGAATTGTTTATTTTAGATGTGATCAAAAGTCCACAACTAGTTTCCAATTCTAATCTATATTTTGTTCTTGTTTTGTTTTGTTACGTATTCTATATTTCATAAAGAACTTTTAATTAGCAGTTACAACGTAGACCACTCGACTATGACACCATTTCTACATTTCTTCAAAATGCCCATGTTGATTTAATATTTCCCTACCTTGATAATTTATCTGGCGAATGATTTCATCCTTTGGATAGTGGACTGGTACGTTGCCTTGTATTGTTAGACAGGTGGTCTGTGTAGACAGGTAGTCACTGAAGCAGGTTTGACTGTAATTAAAGACAGGGCTCTCTTGCAAAGCAGTTTTGATGTACTGAAAGGACCTCCATGTATATGGAACACATGATATATAAACTTTTGAACGAATAAAGATACATATATTTCTAACAACCAGTTTTTCAATGAATCAAAAGTCACATCTCACTCTCTGTTTTAAGTTTATTCGGTTCGTTGGGTCTCATTATAATGAATTCATGATCCCCCTTCATATGCAATACTCAATTTGGAAATTCCTTTAAAAGTAAGTACAAGCGCCTTTTACTGTCCAATTATGTGTAAGTTAAACGCAATTTAGTATGTAACCGTCAACTACCTGAAGTTGATAGAATATTTTTTATTCTTTGTAATGAATGTATCAACTTGTCAAGCCGCATGGGTTTTTACAGATACACCCTATTTCATTTTCTAACACAATTTGCATTTAAATGTAATTACTTTGTTTCACATATTTAGGTCGAGTTTTATAATTATGTACATTGTAAATGTTTACAGCCTGTTTTTTTAAACACTGAATTTGAAATAAAATGGATCAATCAATCAGATGTAACAATATTCATTGTCACTATTCCATGATAGCTATTCCGATCTGTATTTGATATACCTATACATAATAATAATAATCTTTTAGTCCACTCCAAATTTCATTAAACCGAAAATGGAAATTCTTTTTTTGCAATTGATCGTGAGCCCGGCAGCCACTGAGCAGCGCCAGATCGACGTTGCTCTATCCCCTTATTGTTGAACGCCAAACAAGATAGCAGCAACTCCCGTCTTAAAACATCTTTTGGTATGACGCGGCCGGGGTTCGAACCCACGACCTCCCGGTTGTGAGGCGCACGCTCTACTGACTGAGCCAACACATGACATTAAATTTCAAGATAAACATCAGAAGTGAATCATACTCCCTTCAGAAGCTGGGAATACACCTATCTAGGATCTTGGATCTTGGATTGGATTCCTCCGGAACATTCCACTAGGGAATTTCAACTGGAGGTGTGGCTTTGAGTGGTCAGTTACTTTTGGCTTGTGGGTTTTAAGAAAGTGAACAGCTCTGCTTTGAATGCAGAGGTAGTTTTGGCAGAAATTACTGAAGACGGTAGGTTGTTCCATTCCTTTGTGGTTTTGGGGAAGAACGAGTTTGCATGGACATCAGTTCTCGTGTGATAAAGCTGGAATTGGTGGTCATGCCCCCGTGTTCTGTTGTGGGTCTTTGGGGTGATGTATTTCTGATGGTCGATATCCATAGTCCCATTTAGTGTTTTGTAGAGGCAGGTTAATCTGTTTGCTCGTCGTTTTTCTTGCAGCGGCAGCCATCCAAGGGATTCTTTGAGCGACGTAACACTTGTGTCCCTGCCATAAGTTGATGTAGTGAACCTGGCTGCAGCGTTTTGGACACGTTCAAGGTCTTTGATGTTTTTAGCAGTGAACGGATCCCAGGCTGACGTCGCATAGTCCAGGTGAGGCCGGACTAGTGTCTTATAAAGTTTCTCCTTGGTTGACTGCGAGGTATGGTGAAAGTTTCTCTTGAGGAAATTCAGTACTTTCGATGCTTTGGATCTTGCATAGTTAACCTGTGCATTCCATCTCAGGTCGTTTTGAATGTAGACACCTAGATATTTACTTTCCTTTGTTTTTTCAAGAGTTACTCCCATCATGTTATATGTAGTGTATGATTTGTTTCCTCCCCTGGAAATCCACATAGTGGTATGGTACATTTAGACGGGTTGAATCTCATGCCCCATTCGTCAGCCCAGTTCACCAGTTTATGCAGGTCTTGTTGGAAGGTATCTTCATCTCTCTAGGATTTGATGGTGTTGTAAACAAGACAGTCATCTGCGAAAAGTCTGACGGTGCTGGATATTCCATCGTGTATGTTGTTAATGTGAAGCAGGAAAAGGTGGGAGCCGAGTACTGTACCCTGGGGTGCTCCACTGAGTACGGGGGACCAGTCAGATGACTTTCCATTCACCACCACCCTTTGGAATCTCTTTGTGAGGAAGGATGAGATCAAGTCTTTCGTTTTAGAACGTATGCCATAGTGCTCTATCTTGATGAGCAAACGCTGGTGAGGCATAACGTCGAAAGCCTTTGCAAAATCGAGGATAGCTATATCCGTTGTGAGTTTGTCGTGTTGGAAGGTATGCAGGTCTTGTTGGAAGGTATCTTCATCTCTCTAGGATTTGATGGTGTTGTAAACAAGACAGTCATCTGCGAAAAGTCTGACGGTGCTGGATATTCCATCGTGTATGTTGTTAATGTGAAGCAGGAAAAGGTGGGAGCCGAGTACTGTACCCTGGGGTGCTCCACTGAGTACGGGGGACCAGTCAGATGACTTTCCATTCACCACCACCCTTTGGAATCTCTTTGTGAGGAAGGATGAGATCAAGTCTTTCGTTTTAGAACGTATGCCATAGTGCTCTATCTTGATGAGCAAACGCTGGTGAGGCATAACGTCGAAAGCCTTTGCAAAATCGAGGATAGCTATATCCGTTGTGAGTTTGTCGTCCATGTTTTTAGTTAGGTCGTGGTTGGTCACAATCAACTGTGTTACACATGATCTCGCTTTACGGAAAGCATGTTGTTGATCTGAGAGAATATCATGCTTGGACAGGTGTTTCATTAAATTACTATCGATGATGTGTTCCAGAAGCTTGCAGGAGGTACAAGTTAAGGACACCGGCCTATAGTTTGCTGGGTCAGTTGTTTGCCCTTTCTTATAGATTGGCGTGATGTTCGTCTCCAATCTAATGGGAGTTCCCCCGTGTCTAATGAAAGGTGGAAGATGTGTTGCGGTACTCTTGCCAGTTCGTATGCTGCCAGTTTAAGGGCTTGGTTGGGTATGTTGTCTGGACCAATCGCCTTGGCTACGTTGATGTTTTGTAGTAATTTTCTTACTCCTTCTTCCGTAACTATAATAGGTGGCATTTCAGGGAAAGGGTCAGCTTTCATGGATGGCTTGGGTGTTATCTCGGCGTCTTCCCGTGTGAAGACACTGTTGAACTGGTTTGCGAGGGCTTGTGCTTTGTCCAGGTCATCTGTTAAAAGTTTCCCTGGGACTTTGAGTGGTTTAATTCCTGTATTTTCCTTCCTTCTAGATTTTACATAGCGCCAAAAGGATTTTACATTGTCAGAGTCTATGATGGAAGCAACAAAGTTTCTGTGGGCACGTCTAATTATTTTATCAGTACTTTTCTGAGTATTTACAAAGAGTTCCCAGTCCTTATCATTTCCTGATCTTTTTGCTTTAATATAGTGTTTCTCCTTTTTCTTGCAAAGTCTTTTAAGTTTGCTAGTAAACCATGGTGGGCGCATACGCCCTTTAATTAGCTTGGTGGGAACTAAATCTTCAATGATATTGGACAGGTTATTCCGGAACCAAGACCAGTTTTCTTCTACTGTGTTCTTCTCTGGGTTACAATCGAAGTAATCAGACAGAAGCTTGGAAGCCCTCG